TCTTTCAGGAGTTTTCCAGCCCCTTCCCAGCTCTGTTCCCTTGCCTGGACGTGTTCCAGCCCCTCAAGATCCTGTTTGAGGGTTTCCTTTTCATGGCTCTCTTAGATGCCATGGTTGGATCACTGAACGACATTAAATTAACACCTTGAAAAATTGTTTTGTTCTCAAACAAGAAAACCCTTTTGCCTGTGTTCAGGGGAGGAGAATGGAGCTGGGAAGAGGCTGGAAAACAAATCCTGAGAGGAGCAGCTGAACTGGGGGGGCTGAGCCTGGAGCAAAGGAGGCTCAGGGGGACCTTGTGGCTCTCACAGCTCCTGACAGGAGGGGACAGCCGGGGGGTCGGGCTCTGCTACTGTGTCCCAAGGGAAAGGAGGAGAGGGAACGGCCTCAAATGGCACCAGGGGAGGCTCAGGTTGGAGATTGAGAAAGAAAATTTCCCTGGCAGAGTGGTCAGGCCTTGGGATGAGCTGCCCAGGGAGGTTTGGAGTCACTGGAATTGTCCCAGAGGAGTCTGGATGTGGCCTTGGGGACAGGGTTTGGGTGATGCTGGTGGGGCTGGGGTGGCACTGGGTGATGCTGAGGGGCTCTTCCCACCTTGATTATTCCATAATATCAAGAATAGTAACAGTGACTGCTGGTAGAAGGCAAGGAGAAGATGATGAGAACTAATGGCAAAGTCACAGGAAAAATTTTCAAGAAATTTTTTTTTCTTTTTGTTCAGAGGCAATATTTTGAACCAACCCTAAAGTGCAACATGGCTGTGAAACTATAAAAGGCTTTTTACTGATTTGTGAGACAAAAATTCAACTGGACAATTGAGAGATTGTTTGTCCTGGTGGGAAACAGGATTTGAGTGTCAAATGAGCTTTGTTCGTGCTGCCTCCTGTAAATCTGGCTTTGAGGTGAAGGAGGGCAGGGATGGATGGGAGATTGGGATTTGGGAATTGTTCCCTGGGAGGGTGGGCAGGGGCTGGGATGGAATTCCCAGAGCAGCTGGGGCTGCCCCTGGATCCCTGGGAGTGCCCAGGGCTGTAGGACTCAGATTCAGTCAAAGGAAGAAACTGAGAGTTTCTAGCCAAGCAGAGGCCTGGGAAAGAGCTAAGAAAGAATATAAATAATTCTTTATCTCTCTTGTTTTTCACATTGTTTATAGTTAAGTTCTATCACTGTGAGTCAAGCACTCTGCACCAATAGTAGTAGGTTGTTTTCACTTCAAAACCAATGAATTTGGTCCTTGTGGAGCTCTGTATAAAAGAGCAGTGTATTTTGAATAAATAAGAGTTTTACTCTCACAACCTTCTAAATCAGAATCTTCTCATTCCCGTCCTGCCTCGACAGCGACACAGGGCCAGGTTGGACTTGGAGCAGCCTGGCACAGTGGGAGGTGTCCCTGTCATGGCAGGGGTGGAATGGGATCATCTTTAAGGTCCCTTCCAACCCAATCCATTCTGGAATTCTCCAATTATTAGGAGGTTGGATTATCTCCTAAATTGTTCACTCTCAAAACTTCCTTCAGTCTTTTTCCTGGAGCTGTTCTGAAGGGAACCCTGGGGTGCTGCAGGTGCTCCCAGTGCATCCCCCAGCACTGAGCAGTGTCCCTGCCCAGCTGAGCCACTTTCCTGGTGTCATTCTCTTCAAATCCCCAGGAATTTCTGCTGCTCCCAAAGCTGGATGCAGCTGAGGCTTTCCCTGTGTCTCCTGCAGGGAAGGGAAGGAATTTGCCAGCAGGGGACACTTCTGAGCTGGGT